ATATTGATATAAATTGAAACAAAAGGCATTATGAGAGCTTGAGAAAATGGGAAAATTTGTCCAATCAGATTATTTCTTTATGGGCAGCATTGATTATATTGGGTCAATGGTATCAAGAAAGAAATAACCCTAATAAAAATAAAAAATAACCTTTTTTACAATAGGACAAAACTGAGCTTTCCACAACATACTCTTTTCTTATATGGTAGATTTAAATTTAGTTTGGATTTTTTAATCCAACTTGTGGAATATTGTGCACTCGCACGAAAAATATAATAAAAATATAAATAAGAAAAACTAAATTGTTTTACCAAAATAATTTATTATTTTTAAAAGAATGACATTTTTTAAAATAAAAACAAAATTGTTTTACATTAATAATATATATTTTAATTTTTTATATATTCATCTCAAAAAATATTATATCTTAAATTAAAAATAATTTCAAATATACGCAATAATTTAGTTTTATAAATATCAACTAATATCATATATTTGAAAATATTATTTTAATTATATAAATAAATATTAGTAACATAAATAAATATATTTTTTCCGTTTTCGAATTTATACATTATTTAAAATATTTTTATTTTTATTTTCTTTAATTGTACAAAAGAATATTATGATATTAGTTGATTTATTGTATCCATACAGATTCAGGTATGGATATATGTGTGTTCGTACGAATATTGGAGTGTTACGCACATTTGTTTCAAAGATATAATAAAAATGAAATAGAAAAAGACAAAATTGTCTAATCAAAATAGTTTATTATTTTTAAAATAAATAATAAATCGATTTTTGTAATTTCTTCTGTATATAAAAATATTTGAATCAAGAGTATAATTATTTCTATATATAAATATTTTTGCTTTAGAATTATTTATAAAAAAATTAAATCAATAGTAAATTTGTTCTCGTTATTATTCAATATTTAAATCAATAGTTTAATATCAGTAACATATGTGTGTACCATATCAGTATCCATGTGTCTGCACAGGTACTGATGTGATATGTTAAGTTGTCGTTAATTATTTACAAATTTGAAGAAATAAAGCATTGTGATGAAATAGAGAAAAATCAAATAATTTATTAATTATTCTTAACCAAAATGAACACTTACTACTTTTACTATTTTTAAAAGAGATAATAAATTGGTTTCTATAATTTCTTCCGTATATAAAAATATTTGAATCAACAGTATAATTAATCCTATATATAAATATTTTTGTTTTAAAGTTATTTATAAAAATATTTAATTCAATAGTAAACTTGTTCTCGATATTATTTAGTATTTAAATCATTATCTTAATATCAGTACTCTATGCGTACCATGTCAGTATCTGCGTGTTCGCGCGGATATTGGTGTAGTATGTTAAGTTGTCATCCGTTATTTACAAATTTGAAAAAATAAAACATTTTGATGAAATTAAAAAAATCAAATAATTTATTAATTAGCTAATAGAGAAAGAAATATAAAATATGTTTAAAAAGAATATTTGCAAAAGCTAAGATGTTGTAATAAAGAGGACAATAGTACCTTATTAATAACAACACTCACTTGAAAATTTTAACTTATTCATTTCTATACTATGGTTCAAAGAAATGGTTGAAAATTTTAACAATATATATTGTTTTTACCACACTTTCATGGTCCTAAGAAAAAAATGGTGAAAAATTGAAATCAAAGAAAAACTGTTAACTTAAACGAAAGAACATATCACAAGCTCTTCTAAACAACATAGACATTTCACAGCTCTTTCAAACATTTACTTAAATATTTATGGTATAAGTCCAAATAAACTCTCTCAAACACGTCACATTTCCATGAATCATTTCAACTTCATCCAATTAAGAATCCACCAACCTTAACATTATCTGCTCTTGACAAGAATTTCATACAAATATGCTAAGAACCAGAAAGCAGCTGTCTATTTAGAAGTGATTTTACCTAAATAGTAGCATCAAGAAGTTTCATGTAAATTTGAATTAGAACTGCAATGAACTTATGAGGCTAAAAAAATATTATGTTCTATTAGCATGAGCTATGATAAGATATATGTTTGTCTAAACGACTGTGTTTTATTTCGAAATGAATATGTATCGTTAAATGAGTGTTATAAATGTGGTTTATCTCGATATAAGAAAAAATTGTCTCCAGCAAAAGTCTTATGGTATTTTCCTATAATTCCGAGATCTAGGCACATGTTTCATAGTGAAACCGATGCAAGACACTTGACTTGCCATGCAGATGAAAGAATTATTGATGGAAAGTATCGACATCCGGCAGATTCACCACAGTGGTCGAAAATTGATGATGATTATCCTGATTTTGGAGAAGAAGCAAGAAACCTTTGTTTGGCATTATCTACTGATGGAATGAACCCACATGATCTTCAAAGTATCTCACATACTACAAGGCATGTGATTCTTATGATTTATAACCTACCTCCATGGCTATGTATGAAGCGTAAGTACATGATGTTATCTATGTTAATTTATGGGCCTAAACAACCAGGGAATGACATAGACGTATACTTGACACCTTTGGTTGAAAATTTAAAGATTTTGTGGGAGAACGGTGTGGAGGTTTATGATGGATATAGGAAAGAAAATTTTAATTTTAGGGCGATGTTGTTTGGCACAATTAATGATTTTTCAGCATACGGGAATCTATCTGGGTATAGCATTAAAGGTCAATGTGTGTGTCCTATTTGTGAAGATGGAACTGATACGACGCGATTGGAACTTTGTCAGAAGAATGTGTTTCTCGGTCATCATAGATTTTTACATTCTAAACATCACTATCGTGGATGGAGAAAAGCATTCAATGGAGACATCGAACAACGTAAAGCTCCACCTGCATTGTCAGGTGACCAAATTTTTGAAAAGGTGAAAGATGTGTGTACTCAGTTTGGTAAGCCTTTTGCACATAAGGTTGTCAAAGGTGGGTGGAAGAAGAGGTCGATTTTTTTTGAATTGCCATATTGAAAGTCTTTGTATGTGAGACATTTTCTCGATGTTATGCATATTGAAAAAAATGTATTCGAAAGTGTTATTGGTACGTTACTCAATATAAAAGGAAAGTCTAAGAATGACCTTAAATCAAGGGAGGACATGTTAAATATGGGAATAAGAACTGAATTAGGACCCATGAAGAAAGGAAGACGAACATATCTACCACCCGCTGCTTTTACTCTATCTAGAATGGAGAAAAAAAATATTGCGCAAATTTAAGTGAAGTTAAAGTTCCAGAAGGATACTCTTCAGATATTAGAAGACTTGTGTCTATGAAAGACCTCAAGTTGAAGAGTTTAAAGACACATGATTGTCATGTTATAATGAAGAGTTTAAAAAACGTTGTCTAAAGTCCCCTTTAGACAACACTTTTTCTGTAAAAGCGCTGCCTAAAGGGGCTCTTTTTTTTATAATTTTTTTGTTTCAGAAAAAGCGCTGGCTAAAGGGGACCTTTAGCAGCGCTTTAAAAAAAGCACTGCCTAAAAGAGGCTTTAGACAACACTTTAATATTAAAAGCGCTGCCTAAAGGGGCTTTTTTTTATAAAAATTTTTTGATTCAGAAAAAGCGCTGGCTAAAGGGGGCCTTTAGCAGCGCTTTACAAAAGATGCTGCCTAAAGAGGGTTTTAGACAGCACTTTAACATTAAAAGCGCTGCCTAAAGGGGCTTTTTTTTTTTAAAAATTGTTTCAAAAAAGCACCGATTAAAGGAGGTCTTTGGCAGCGCTTTAAAAAAAATATTGTCTAAAGAGGGAATTTAGCAGCGCTTTAAAAGTAAAAGCGTTAGCTAAATGGACCTTTAGCAGCGCTTTCAAAGTAAAAGGGTTGCCTAAAGGAGGGATTTAACTAACGCTTTTACTTTTAACAAAGCGCTGTCTTTACTTACAGCAACACTGGAATAGACAGCGCTGTCTAAAGTAAAAAAAAACGTTGTTTAAAGTCTTGTTTGACGTAGTGACTTTAGCACTTCATATTTTTGGTTTCTTATTCTTCACCAAACATGAACACTAAATATTATGCAACACATCTAATTAGAATTCAATTTCAAAAAAAGTGGATCCAGTTGGAGCAAATACTATTCTAATATATATTTGTCACACTTGTATGAGATATACTCAAAGAAAATATGTAAATAACTCTTTATTATATATGTGCCAGAGTAAGTACCATGAGTTAATTATCAATTATTATACATTCAATGCGTGAGATCTCCCACCAATCACCATGGTTGCAGCGAAAAATCCATTGCAAAGTGAGAGGCAGTTTTTGGTTAATTAATGTTGAGAATCTGTCAATTCCTAATATTGCCATGTTTCAATAAACTTGAGCGTAAGGTGCATGGTATGTTGAACCTTGTTGACCAAGAAAGAATTCCACCAACCAGAAGAGATATATTGATTATATATGGACATATCATCCCAACTCCCACATAGGTTGCAGAAAAATCAAAATAAACCTTATAATATGTACATACATAAATAACAGAAGGAATTAAAAAGTTGCCAACACATCATGCTAACACCATAAGTTAAGAAGCTACGAGTGACATACATATTTTGATAGGCTTCTAAACCAAATTTTGGAAAGCTTGCAAATCCACAAGCATCACCAGCAGTGAAAAAAACATTGGAAGAAACCCCAAGCAAAGCTAAATGAGAAGAATTTTCCAAATGCTTGTACTTGTTTCTTTGCTAGTTTGGCACCTTCTGTTGTATGGAAACTATTGATAAGATGAGTTGTTGCAATACCACTTGGATATTTCAATTTGAAGTCAATAATCATAATCTACAACAACCAACTAAAAAATAAAATGTCAATTCAACATACAATAACCAAATAACTTAATTTGATCGAATCGCTCAACTGATGGAATCGTAGACACTGTTGGTCCGTGGTTCAACCAGTTGTAGTAAAGTTGGTTACATTCCATTAAGGCATCAGAAAGTCAATTGTTCCTTACATTATACTTATAATGCGATTAGTTAGTGTACCTTTTGGAGTGGAACCTCCGAAAAGAGGCCAAGAAAGCTAAAAACAAATAGAAACACAATCATCCATCTTAGACCAGGAAATTTAGTATTAATGGGACTTCCTAGTTCTGGAATTTGTTTTGCAATATTAGGACTCATTCCAAACAAGTAGCTACCAAATCCACCTACATCAAATAAGGTCCTTGCATTAGAATTGTAATTAACTATTAGACTATATCAACTATTTATCCAACACAAAGTTCATGTAGAAACTAAAATTCTAATCATTCAAATAAAGAATCCACATTGAAGTAAAATAATAGCCATTTCAAAATCATGAAAAACCACCAAAACAGACCTTGCTTTTGTCTGAATTGCAGACAGTTATGTGCATGAATATTTTACAATTGACACACAAAATTGAAGAAAAAAACTTCAGAGATGCAAAATTCTCTATTAGTACGGATAACAATTTGTCTCCATATTGACTTTAATACTACCAGATTGCATCTATTAGATAATACTTGAGAAAGGATTACTAGAGCTAAATTTGCACCTGACAAGCATGAGAGAGCCAACTTCCTTCGCCCTGAATGGTCAATTAGATAAATGCCAATAGTTGTTCCAGTAGCTTTCATGCCAGCAACTATGAGAGATAAAAGAAGAGCTAACTGATTGGAATTAAATCCGGCCATTTGAATGATTCTGGGGCTGTAGTACATGACTATGCTGATACCGGTGAACTGCTGAAAAGCACGCGTAATATTGAAAATACGGGAGAAGTTACACAGCATAAGATGCAAGCACATTCATTCAATATTTAGAGATATATCATTTGAAAGTGGAATATAGAAACAGAAAATTTAGTCTTGGCTCAATAACCTGAAGTCCTGCCCAACAAAAAAGCAATTCTAATTTCCTCTGATCAGAAAACATCCATGTATCTAATGTTCTTCCGTTTCTGCAGTTCTTGCGCAGAAACATCTGTGAGGTAATTGACTTCATCTTCTAGACGTTCGTAAGTATAGATATTAGAAAGCACATAAATAACTTTGTTTTTCCTACTTTGTACATAAAAGATACTGGTGTAAGAAAGCTTTCAGGGAATTGAGAAAACAATACCCGAAACATAATGCATAAAGATAAGTAGAAGCTTTTCACCTTCAGGAAAAGCCACCTTGGAGATTCAGGCAGGAAAAGCATAACAGAAAACTGAATAACAGCTGGCAAACCAGCAACTCCCAACACTCATCGCCATGTACCAGGAACCTGTTTTATTAAAATTTTATTAGGCGATTTCTCAAATAATAAAAAATTCCTAATAGGCAAGTCCAATTTTCAGTCCAAATGGATGGTTTGTATGGTTTGTTTGGACCTGTGAAGGTATCACCACAATGCTCTCCATTGCAGGCTTTAATCTGCAAAATGAAGTACGTATAAGCTTTATCTTGAGGAATGAAAGAACTAATGCCAAATTGATTACACATGGAACTTACAACTGGATCAGGAGCATCCTTTTGCTTGGACATGATACATGGAACTTTGTTATATAGTTATCAATCAAATCATTATCATTCATACTATATAATCTATAAATCCTGAACCTTTTCTAAAACTATCAGCATCATGTGCAGCACGATCAACTTCCTGCATGCGGACACCTGGCTGACTTCATTCTTCAAAAAATGATGATGTGAGTGCCGAGGTACAAAGTCCAAACACCTTGAATTCAGATTCAATTGATCCTTTCATTGGCTGCATATTTTGGTTTTGATTCAGCACCTGCAATGCAATGTTCAATATAGTATTCCCAAGTACAAAATCAATCAAATAATATATAGAAAAATTTAATAGTACCTTTAGAAGAAGATTGCGAGTTTAAAATAAAAAGAACCTAGCATTATTAAATAGTTTTTTTTTCAAAAACAACTTCTCGAATAAGTTGAAATTTGTTTCTGCACCTCAAACTTTCTAGAAACTCTATCACTTGACTACTCTACAGTCTATAAAAATTCATAAACTTGTAAAAGACTTTTCATGTCTGAGGAAACATAAACTTATATTAACTTAGAAGGTTGAGATGGACGGATTGTGAGAAACACTTTTAGATTATCATTCTCCGATGGATTTATCAAATTCTCGACCTCTGATACCTGATCATGAAAGAGAAGAGGGAAGAAAACAATTGTAAAATGAAAGAGAGGAAGGAAGAAAACAATTATAATACCTGAGTATTTTCAATATCAAATGGTAAATGAAAAACAACAACAATGTGTCTCTTTAAAGCAGAAGGAATCGGGTTTTTGAGGAGAATCAAGTGAGATATTTGAAAAAAATGTGATACATTACATTTGAGTTGGAAAATCAAAGGTTTATCTTGGAAATAAATGATATAGTTAATAGTTGTATAAAATAATAATTATTAGGGTTACTATTTATAGTATCTTTTTACTCTCTAAAAGAGAGATAATTGACCAATCGAAAAAATGGTTTAATTACCTTTTCCAAAGCATATTATTTTCTTATACGGTAGATATACTCTGCTTTTTAAAGTAAATAACAGAACTTTTTTAAGATTCTTTATTGAAACAATGTGTTGTACTCCAAAATTTGCTTTCCTATTTCTCAAGATTTTTCTCACAAAATTTCTACTAGTTCAAGTTTGCATAAGTACAAAGCAAATCGAAGGGAGTGACTGCAGACAACAGTTCAAATTCAAGATCTGGCAAACAGCCTCCTTCGATGCAAGCTTGATTCACCAGCTTTCGATTGGACATCTGACCTCCTTCAAACTTCCTTCAAAATCCCAAGCTTCGATTGAGGCAATGGCCTCTTGCATACTCACTTCATACAAGCTTCAATTGAATAATTGGTTATCTTCATGCTAGCTTCGACTGGGCATTGTTTCCCTTTGAAACAGCTTCCTTCGATTCAGAAGACAAGGGCCTCCTATTGGTATCTTTCGATTCAAAAGTTAGTGGCTTCCTACTGGCTTCTTTCGTTTAAGAAGGCAATGACCTTCTAAAAGCTTCCTTCGATTCAGAAGGCAATGACCTTCTGAAGGCTTCCTTTGATTCAAAGCAGGGACCTCCTGCATGCAAGCTTCGATTGCACCATTGGTCCCTTACATGTTTGCCTTTGATTCACAAAGAAGGGACCTCCCGCATGCAAGTTTTGATTGCATTATTGGCCCCTTGCATGTTTGTCTTTGATTCACAAAGTAGTAGCCTCCTGCACACAAGCTTCAATTCACAAGCATTAGCAGTACTTCCCTCAGGCCTACAAGGCAAATACATCCTGCATGCCAGCATGTACAAGGCAAGTGTCTCCTTTGTGTTTGCTTTTGACTCACAAGGAGATGGCTTCCTTTGTGCACAAGGCAATGGCTTCCCTTCGTGCTAGCGCCCACAGGGCATTGTCTATTTTCACGCTAGCTTCGACTGGACAATATATCCCTTTGAAATAGCTTGCTTCGATTCCACCTTTGAAAACCTTAAATATACATAGTTCCTAGTCTATAACACACAATGAGTGTCTCATTCGAAGCACATACATTGTTGGATTTGAAGCACATAGTTGGATGTCCCATTCGAAGGATATACATTGGTGGGTTTGAAGCACATGGCCGGATATCCCATTCGAAGGATATACGTTGGTGGGTTTGAAGCACATAACTGGATGTCCCGTTCGAAAGATATACATTGGTGGATTTAAAGCACATAGTTGGATGTCCCATTCGAAGGACACATCTTGGGTGGAAACCAAATATTGTTGTTTGTAGAAGAGTTTGGTCGAAGGTTGGACCTATGTGGTCAAAACAAAAGGTTGAAGTATCCAAAGATGCTTGCTGGCTAGAGTCCTATGTGCTGCCAAGTATAAGCATGTTGCACTGGTCACAACACTCCAAAACTGCTACAAAGCAGTCCTGCTACGCTGCTCTCATATTTGCACCAAATTGGCATACAAAAACTGTACCTCAAAGGCTACAAAGATAGCATACCCAATTTGTTCAAATCTCATTTATTTTCCCTTCCAAACCTCAGCCAATTTCATCTATAAATAAGAGGTTCCACAACACATCAAAGGGGGCTTTTGGGGTAGCTGAAGAAACTCTTGTTGTGGGAAAATCATCAAACTCTTAAACTCTCAAACAATCTCAAACATTCAAACTCTAAAAATCTCATAAAAAATCTCAGATCCTTCCATATATCAGTGAACCCTTCGATTCACTCCTCAACTGCCAGATAACCAACCTTCGATTCATTCCCTAACAGCAACATAACAGTTGTTGTACCCCAAAATTTGCCCTCCCATATTCTTCAAAAGTTTTGCCAAGCATCACCTCAAATGGTTCAAGGATACTCCAAGGATTGCACAGTCAACCATCCTCCTAAGCCAGTCAAAATTAAGGTTTTGGTTTCTTCAAGGAAGTTGAGGTTTTCAATGGTCCAATCAAGTCCCACATGCCTATAAACATTGTCAAGCACCTACATGTCAAGTTTCAAGGCTCACAAGGTCAAGTTGCACAGTCAAAAAACCTAATTGCCTCACAATCAACTGCAGGGGCAAAATGGTCATTTGGCAGTCAAAAGTCAAAAATTTTGGTCAACATCTTATTTTGAAGCCACAATCATCATTTGGTCAAATCTTGATCATGATTCCTCAAGCATGGCTCAAAAATCATCAAGGTGTCAAAAGTTTCTATTTTTGGACAGCTGAAAAGTCAATTGTACCTTAACCAAGGCATAACTTTTTCATGGTTCATCAGAAAAATCCCATCCAATGCTCATTTTGAAGGGGAAGACATTTCCTACAACTCATCTTCACATTCCAAGTCCAAGAAATGCTCTCACAAAAAGTTATCAATTTCAACATTATAGGTCATTTTCAAAAGTCAACAAAAAGGCACTTTAAGTCAAAGATCATAACTTTATATTGGTAAATCAAAATGACATGGGACCAAAGGCATTGGTTAGAGGACTTCAAGACCTTTCCAAAATGTCCAAGAACATGTTCATAGCTTCAAAATTGAGCAAGATATGCATTGGAGAAGTTGGGAAATTTTTGTGAAAGGGCCAAAGTCAATTATCCTTGAAACTTCATTTTTGACAAAAGGGGCCCACTTTTTCCACTTGATTCAGCTTTTCCATACCTCCCACATGTCCCATGTTTTATTTCAAGAATAAAAATTAATTTTTCTATTTTTGTTTAATTTTATTTGATTTAATTCATTTTAAATCTTTAAAATTCAAATAAAAATCAAGAAAATTAATGGGAGGATATTTTGTGGTTTGAATAGCTTTGATACACCATAAAACATATACCAAATTCGTTCAAGACCTATTTCAAGCAAAAAAATTCAAATTTGGAGCAAATATGGCAAGTTATTTCAATGGTGATTATGGAGAAAATCAAAACTTCATTGCAAGGCTTAAAAGCTCCTTAATGTGACTGATTCTCATCCAAGCCTATATATACAAGCCTTGCAAGCCTCATTCAGAACCTAGAAAAAAAGGAGTGTGTGCAGAAACGGCCAAGAGCAAAACCAAAAATTATTCAAAAAGTGAGAGTTCTAAAACATAGTTGCGAGCATCTTCAGATCAAAACAAGCACGTGGTTCTATTCCTTGCCACACCCTGAAGCTGAAGCAACCTTTGCCAAGTCCTGAGGCTCATACCGCGCTGTAAGTTCTTCCCAGGTCCCTTATAATTTCCATATTATTTTCTTCAACATTTTCCTGTGCAGATTCCAATATGAGGTGCATCATAAGTCCCACTTCCCAGCGCTGCCATATGTCATCAACGCAGAT